GACTTTGCTGAATTCGTTTATTAGTTCTAGTAGTTTCTGGGTGGAGTCTTTTGGGTTTTCTTTCTATAGTATCATGGCATCTATTAATAGTGAGTTTTACTTCTTCCTTACCAATTTGGATGCCTTTTATTTCTTGATGTTGTCTAATGTCTGTGGCTAGGAATTCCAGTACTATACTGAATAAAAGTGGTCAGAGTGGACATCCTTGTTTTTTTCCTGATCTTAGGGGAAAAGCTCTGTTTTTCACCATTGAGTATGATGTCAGGAATGAGTTTTTCATATAAGGCCTTTATTATGTTAAGGTTTGTTCCCTCTAGACCTACTTTGCAGAGGGTTTTTATCATTAATAGATGTACTTTGTCAAATGCTTTTTCTGCATCTATTGAAATGATACGGTTTTAATCTTTTCTCTTACTGATGCAGTTTTATATAGTTTTTAAAAAATGCTTTATCTTCTAAATTCTAAACCTGAATTTAAAGTTATTTATATACTACTATATAAAGTGGTATATTTAAAGTATATAAACTTATTTATATACTACCATTATATATACCATTATATACTGTGTTACAGGATTTTGGTTTTGTCTATATATTTTCTTATGCTTTATTTTGCTGTCTAGTTTTCATTCATTTTGACTTGAAGGACTCCCTTTAGCAGTTCTAGTAAGGCAGGTGTATTGGTGATAAACATTCTCATTTTTATCTTGGAAGGTCTTTATTTCTCCTTCATTCTTGAAGTAGTTTTCCAGATCTAGTATTCAAGGCTGCTTCTTTTTCTTCTTCTTCTTCTTCTTCTTGCACTTTGAATATATCAATGCACACTCTTCTATCCCAAAATGTTTCTGCTGAGAAATCCACTGATAATCTTATGGGAGTTTCCATATACATGATGAGTAGCTTTTCTGTTGCTGCTTTCAAGATTATTTCTTTGTGTTTGGCCATTTGATTATGATATATCTCAATATGGGCCTCTTTGGATTCACCTCGTTGGAATATTTGGAGGTTCTTGAATGTATATGTTCATTTACTTATTCAAATTTGGGAAGTTTTCAGCCCTATTTTCTCTCTCTTCTCCTTCTGGGACTTCCATAATGCTTATATTGGTCTACTTAATGGTATTCTATAAATCCTTTAGGCATTCTTTTTGTTCTTCTGGCTTGATAATTTTCATATTACCTATCTTCAAGTTTGCTGATTCTTTCTACTGATTGTCTTCTGTTGATCCCTCCTTCTAATAAAATTTTTCAATTCAGTATTTTCCTCCAAAATATCTTTTTGGTTCTTTTTTGTAGTTGTTCTTTATTGATATTCTCATTTCATTCATTCATCATTTTCCTGATTTTATTTAGTTGTCTGTGTACTCTAGTGCATTGAGCTTCTTTAAGACAATTGTTCTGAACTGTCAGGTAATTCACAAATATCCATTTCTTTAGGGTCAGTTTTTGGAGGTGTTTTTTATTCCTCAGTTGGGCCATGTTTCACTATTTCTTTGTGTTTCTTGTTATATCTTGTTTTGAATTTAGCATTACAGCCTTCTCTTATGAACTGGCTTTGTATAGGGGAAGACCTTCACCAATCAGTCCAGGTAGAGATCATGGGGGCTTCTCAAACCTTTAATGAGGATGTGTCTTTTTTGGGCTTGTGTGTATAATTTCCTAATTAGAGAGGTTTCTGGTTTATCAGTGGCTTGTCGTCTTCTGCTCCCTCTACTGTCTGCCGGCAGCACTGCAAGTTTTTGGTGCTTCAACAAACCACTGAGGTCTTTTGTTCTCTGCCCTCAGGCCTCCATGTTTCCATCAGTACTTTAGATTCTGTCTTACCTGAGTCAGTCTCTTGGGGATACCCCTGAAAAGGAGGAACACTGAATGTACATTCTGCTTTTCTATTTCCATCTCATGAAAGAAGATGCAAGTTGGGCTTTCCACCTGAATATGAGCTGTGACAATTTGGGGGAGGAGATGACACAATCGAAATGAAAAGAGATGGCTGTGGCTATTCTGGACTTTCAGCTTGCCTGGGATACTATGATTTCCTAAATAATTTCTGGGGTTTTCATGAAGGTTTTTTGGAACATATCCTGTTGTTACATATGTACTACCTATTCTGACATCTTGCTGATTTCACTCTCCATTAATAATTTTATGGAGTATTTTCCCATTGTTTTTCTCCTAATCTAACTATACTGTTATGTTTGAAGTAAGTATATTGAAATAGCATATAGTTAGGTCATGTTTTTAATCCACTCTGCCAATTTGTACATTTGAAGTGGTGTATTTAGACTGTTTATATATTTTTTATTTTATTATGTTATGTTAATCACCATACATTACATTATTAATTTTTGATGTAGTGTTCCATGATTCATTGTTTGCATATAACACCCAGTGCTCCATTCCACACATGACCTCTTTAATACCCATCACCAGGCTAACCCACCCCCCACCCCACTCCCCTCTAGAACCCTGTTTATTTCTCAGAGTCCATAGTCTCTCCTGGTTTGTCTCCCCCTCCGATTTATATTTAATGGAATCATTGATATGTTAGGGCTTCTGTCTCCCCCGTCCACTCTTTTCCCCTGCATTTTTATGGATTTCTTCAATTATTTAATACATCCTTATGATGTGTCAATAATGTTTTTTAGTGTATCTTTTTGTATATTTTTTAATGGTTGCTTTACTTGTCACAGTCTTCTTGTGTCATCATTACTACTATATTGAGGTAACTATAAAAACCTTGCTCCCTTTACCTCACTTTATCCTCTCTCATTTGTAATTGCCTTAAATATTTCCTCTAGGATATTTTTGTTAGGTATAGGATTCTGGATTGCCAGTTGTTTTATTTCAGTGCTTGAAACAGATCAGATTTTCTTCTGGCTTCCATAGTTTCTGATGAGAAATTCACTGTCATCCAATTGGTGTTGCACTATTTGTACTGCATCATTTGTCTTGTTGCTTTCATGATCTTTTACTCGGTGTTTAGAAGTTTGACTTCTAAGTGTTCAGAAGTTTGACTATGATGTGTCTTGTAGATTACGTGTTCATTCAGCTTCTGGAATCTATAGGATTAGACATGTCTATTGCCAAATTTAGGAAGTTTTCAGCTATTATTCTTTATGTAATTTTTCAGCCTTGTTATCTTTCTTCTTTCCTTCCTCACTGTGCTTGCAGTGACCCAAGAAGAGGGAAATGTGTGGCTCCTCATTACTGCTGGGTGGTGGTTGGAATTATGGTTCCCCATATGATCTCTTCTAAAACTATAGGTGATGGGTTTCATTACCAACCAGCAGGGTTAAAAGTTCCGTACTGAGCTTTTGCTCAATGTCAGAAACTGATGCTCTCCACTTAGCCTCTGCTGGAGTGGGTTGTTGTGGGCCATAGATTTTTCTGTGGTGGTAAGAGAGATTATTTTCTAACAGTTTTCTATCTTGATAGGTCCCCTTATCTCATCCTTTGGCTAGAGAGTGCTAGCTTTTGTTGGGCTTTTTTTATTGTTTTATCTGTGCCCATTGGCAGTTCCAAGTTGCTAGCTACTTCAGCTCCAAGTCTGGGATATATGAAGCAAAAAGAAAACCTAAGAAACTCACCATCATGTCATTTCTTGGGTGTTGGGCGGCCCTAGACAGCTTCACTTCTCTCCACCTTTTCCAGTCATCTTATGTTTAATATATAATACCCAGGGCTTTGAGTAGTACTTAGTGGAAACAATAGGAAAAAGGATATCTGTTCTATATCTCATAAGAGCCCTTTATAATCTTTTAAATATCTTTATCTGTTGTTATGTGTCTATTTCCATTCTTTTTTAAGATTTTTTTTATTTATTCATGAGAGGCAGAGAGAGAGAGGGAGGCAGAGGGAGAAGCAGGCTCCCAAGGAGCAGGGAGCCTGATGCGGGACTCGATCCCAGGACCCTGGGATCATGACCTGAGCCGAAGGCAGATGGTTAACCATCTGAGCCACCCAGGCGCCCCTCTATTATCATTCTTAAGATTAGAGCATGAAGTCAGTTGCTATAGGAAGTAGTGATATTTCTAGTACTGCCTAGAGCACAATTATAGGAAAGTGTAAAAATTCAATAAAATCTTTTGTTGATGAATTAATGAAGTCATAAATCACATCCCACTTACCCAGTAATAATAATTTCTGGATATGTTTGTGTTCCAAGGTTCCAAGCTCCTCCACTGATTGGCCACTCCTAAATAGATTATTCAGGAAGAATTTATGAGTTTTATTTTTTAAATTTAAATAACAAACATTTTAAATGAAAACATTTTAAAATAATGGCAAACTATTCACTTAAAGGAAATAGCTGTAAAGTAACAAAGAATGAAGTGTGTAGCTATCTTTTAATTCTTTCATTGAACAAACAATTCCAAATGCACAATTCTATCTCCTTTAAAAATATAAATTTTAACAAATATTACCATTTACATAAAAAGTACTTAAAAAGTATTTTAATCATACAAATACAGTGTTGCTACATTTGCCACATAGTCTGTGTACCACCAAACTATCATAGTTCTATTTAACACAGAATACTATGTAAATTGTGCCCCCTTGAGTTGTCCATTCCAACAGCCTTGTGCAAATAGAAATCATAAAGAGGGAGTCTATTACTATTGTAAGTATTTGAATCCTGTAGTTAAATACAACAAAATGGAATTTAGAAAGTTATTTAACAAATGACTATTGTGTCTTGTTAACCACTGAATAACAATTAACTGAAAAGAGTTGACTCTTGAATTTTGTAAAACATAATCCTTTATCTAAAATAGTTAAAAACTACATTTTATGGTTCAAATATATATTTAGTATATAAATATATATGATAGGTAACTATATCTCAGTATATAAGTATATACTAAGTATATAAGAAATCTATACTCTTTAGGCTTAAAGCTATGTAGCATTTAGGAAATTTAAATTTCACAAGTTATGTCTTTTATAGATAATAGCTTATGACCACAAAAGAATTTAGTTCAAGTCTTCTTATATGGAAGGTCAAAAAGAACAGGAAATAGTATGATCATATAAAGAAAACTTATTTTTAATTGTTACTTTTACCTTATTACTGTATCCTTGTTTTTTATGCTTGACTCCTATAGAGTAGAGTACTAGAATCAGATCTGGTGGGCAATCAGCAAAGTATGCTGTGCATGTAACTGGTGATTCATGAATGTCCATGGGATATGGATTTTCAAAGATTGGAAAACTAACAGATGAAGACAATATATTAGTGTTATTTTGCAAATATAAAAAATGAAATCACTTTTATAAAACAAATCCTAAAATCTTCTAAATATTACATATTTCACTTAATTAAGTATCATAAAACAAGGATCACATGAACAAGAATGTTCTTTTAAGATTATCTGCAAAATGTAATATGAATACTGGTAGAATTTTACTTGAATAAATTCACTGTCTTTTCTGTAATTCCAAAATTCCACAGTGATACCACCTTGCTAATATGAATAGAATGAATTATGTTAAACTGAAAATGTATTCGTCAAGTTGACTTATTAGTGAATGTATTAAAGCATATCAATTAGGTGTTTTATCTATGTACAGTTTCATGTAAATTATAATATAAATGCTAAAATATCTTAGTAATCTTGACATGTGTTTCCTAGTGAGGTAATACATACACAAGTGTTTCTGGTCTTTTGCAGGAATAATTGAAAGATGAGTTTGCTATGTAGGTGTGTGTATGACTATATATGTTTAAGATCATTTCCAAAGTAAACTAGAGAACATAGTAGGAATACAGACTTATGGATACAGTAAATTTCATATCCTCAAGCCTACCATAATTTTAAAAATGGGTATCAGTATAGAACCACATCAAGAATTCTTATAGCCATAACATACTGTGCACTTCTTATGTACCAGATGTAAAAGGAACTGTAGTAGAAGGCATTGAGTATTAGTCTATGCTGCATATGTTCTAGGTCTGTATGTTCATGTTACAAGGTCATGAGGGCTAGTAAAAATAATTTTCCCCCATATCATTAGGAACTTAGTTAAAAACTTAGTCTAATCTCTGGAGAGTATGATATGTGCATGTATTAGCAAGAATTTTCTTCCCTCTGATCTGAAATACTGCAGATTTCTATCCCAGATAAGAATAGTGGTATATGCAAAATCAGGTGGAAAGGAGCAAGTTGAATTTAATAAATGACATATCTGATAAAGGGTTGGTGCCCAAAATATATAAAGAAATTATATGACTCAACACCCCAACAGGGAATAATTCAACTAAAAGATGAGCTGAAGATATGAATAGACATTTTTCCGAATTAGACATTCAGATGGCCAACAGGCATATGGAAAGATGCTCAACATCAGTTATCATCAGGGAAATACAAATCAAAACTACAATGACCTATCACCTGTCAGAATGGCTAAAATCAACAACACAAGAAACAACAGGTGTTGGTGGGGATGCAGAGAAAGGGGAATGAGTGTCTTACACTGTTGCTAGGAATGCAAACTGGTGTAGCCACGCTGGAAACAGTATGGAGATTCCTCAAAAAGTTAAAAATAGAGTTATCCTATGATCCAGCAATGCGCTTCTAGGTATTTACTCAAAGAATACAAAAATACTAATTTAAAGGGACACAGGCACCCCAGTATTTATAGCAGTATTTTCTACAATAGCCTAACTATGGATGCAGCCCAAGTGTCCACCAACTGTTGAATGGACAAAGAGGATATAGTATATATACACAATGGAATATTAGCCATAAAAAAGAATGAAATCTTGCCATTTGCAATGACATGGATGGAGCTACAGAATATAATGCTAAGAGAAATAAGTCAGTCAGAGAAAGACAAATACTATATGATTTCACTCATATGTAAGAATTTAAGAAACAAAACAAATGAGCATAGGTAAAAAAGAGAGCAAACTAAGAAACAGACTGTTAACTATAGGGAACAAACTGATGGTTATCAGAGGGGAGGTGGGTAGGGGAATGGATTAAATAGGTGACAGAGATAAAGGAGTACAGTTGTGATGAGCACTGGGCATTGTATGGAATGCTGAATCACTATATTATACACCTGAAACTAATATTATGCTATATGTAAACTAATTGGAATTTAAGTAAAAACTTGAAAAGTATAAAGTACTACCTGGACCCAGAAATAAATTAGAGAGAGAGCAAGTAGGTTAAAATAGATGGATTGGCTGTTCTCTGTTTCAGAATAGAAATCAAACACTTCTGAGATTGACAAATTAGAAGTAAAATACATGAGTCACCTTAATGACCACACCTATAACTTGGGATTTGATAATAGCAAGAGGTTACAATGATAGACTCCTGACAAGGTGAACAATATCATGAAAATGGGGAAAATTACTTTAGTATATTGGCAATGAGTAAAGAAAAAAATAGTTAAGTAAAAAGTAACAAAATGTATTATAAGAATTTAGATATGGAGATGTAAGCAAAGATATAAATCCAAGAAATCAAGAAGAAGAAAAATTTGTAAGCCCTAATGCTTGTTTTTATATAAACAATTAAATGGAAAAAAGGAGAGAAGGGAAGAAGAGTTAAATTATTTTGAAAAGGAGTATAAAACTGCAATATAATAACATGAAATATGGTTAAAGGTAATTGAAAGGAAAGAGAATGTTTTAAATTTCTTGTAATAGGCAATGATATGGGGATGTCACAAAGATTTTAAAACTTGGTGCTGCTGAAGGTGAAATAAAAAGTAGCGAAAGGTCATTTCACATACTTATATAAACTAATGAAAAGCATAAGAATAAATGTATATACTGAAAACACTGAGTATTAAAGGTATAGTGGGCCTTGAAAGATATTAGCCAATCAGATAAGGTATAAGAAACCAAGAAATGTGGCACAGAAAGAAGAGTACCACTGAGATCAGAACAGTACATTTTAATAAAACCAATATTAGAACTTAGAGGAAGAGACATAAATCCATACATGTATATAAAATTTAATCAAGTTTAATGTTGATAAATAGAATAGCCAGGCAGAATCAGTGATGATGATCTTATGGCCCCTAATACTATATCCCTTTCAAAATACTGAAATATATGCTGCAAATGAGCATAAAGTACTTAGGCTCTGACATTTTTTGGTAAAGATTTACTTATTTATTTGAGAGAGAGAGAGAGCATGGTGGGGAGGTGCAGAGGGAGAGGGAGAATCTCCGTAGACTCCTTGCTGAGTGAGGAGCCCAATGCAGGGCTCAATTCTATAACCTTGAGATCATGAGCTGAGTTGAAATCAAGAGTCAGACACTTAACCAACTGAGCCACCCAGGTGCTCCTGTCTCTGACATTTTTAAATGACATAGAAAGTAGAACTCCCAGGCTTTAAGTCATTCAACAGAAATTTACTGAGAACCTACTCCATGTGCAGACAAAGCTCCTCCTTCATGATACCTATACTGTCTAGTAGAGAATCTTTAAAGCAATAATAAACAAATGGAAAATTTTATCTGTGTCAGAGCTATGAAGGAGAGGAGAAGGGAAGTATGCAAGTCTGTAATAGGATATTTGACCAAATTTTATAGGTAATGAAAAAAATTTTTAATGAGGAATGATATCTGAGTTGTTTCTTACAGATAAGATCTTAATAAGAGGAAAAAGGAAGGGGAAATTAATACATGCAGAGAAGAGAGAATGTACAAAACTTCTGCATGTATAAGGGCTAAGAGAAGATCAGTGGGTCTAGAGTATAGAATGAGGGAAAATCAGAGTTAGGAAGAAGGTAGAAGAGTAGGAGGATCCTGAGCTCACTTTCTCCCACGGACAAGATAACAACTACATCTGTGCAACTAACTCTGAAAATGATCTAAAGACTGGCAGAACAGACTGTCCTTAGTCAATTACAGAGAAGAGCCACACTGAAAAAGGTAAGAGGGGCAGAGATGTAGTTGGGAACCAGATCCCTGGTAAGACTAAACACAAATGAGAGGGATACCAAGCATGGGGAAGCAAGAAGATTAGACCCCACACCAGGCATCCCAGGCACTGGGGATTTGCCCTGAGAAGACGAGTCTCCATTTACACAGGGCTTTAAAAACCAATGGGGCTTAACTCCAAGAAAGACAGAGGGAGATAGGAAACTGAGTCCCTTAAAGATCCAGCATAATAAAAAACCCCAACTGAGACACAGCACAGAAGCAGTAGTTTGAAAATTTACTAATCTCAAAACGTGCAATGGAGGGACAGCGATCTTCAGGAGACTTCTCCAAGAACAAGTGTTGGTGGGTGCCATTTTTCCTCCCATCTCCCAGCCTAGATAGCTGGACACTTGCAAACCAGCCCTAACACTCTCCACATATCTTTCTAGAACTGTGTGCCCTACCCCATTCAACCCACCTGCAAAGCAGCTTCTGACCCTTTACATCCTGCAGTCATCCCTGATAGGGAACCAGTGCCACTCCAAAATGACTCCTACCCTGGGGAGAGGAGGAGATAACCCTACACAGCAGCATACCTACAATTCCAGCAACCAAGCCTTTTAGCGACTATGCAGAGAGAGAGCCCTGCTGGTCAGTGTATTCACAGTTATGGTATAGATTGCAAAAACCTAGTCTAGTTCCTGGCCTCACCCATCAACAAAAGCATCTGTGGGCCAAACAGGGAGAAAGCCCTGCCATGGGGTGTGCCTCTGCAGAGGCTAATTGTAGACAGCGAGGCTGACTGTTGACCCCACCCACCTACAAGCCCACAGAGACCTTGGGCCCCTCAACAGCACAGGGACCAAATCCTGTCCAGTGCACCCAGAGCAGACAAAGTGGATCATTGCAGCTGACTGGGTTAAGGACAGATGCTGCTCAGTCCACCCAACCCCTAGAGATTATACCCCAGGAACATCTAGCTCTGGTAACTAGGGGAAATATCACTAAAGGGCACCACAGGACCTCTTCTTCTTCTACATAAGGCCACTATTTTCAAGACCAGGTGATATAGCTGACCTCCATAATACAGTAAAACAAACAGAGTTAGACAAAATGAGACAGAGGGATATGTCCCAAAATGAAAGAAAAAAATCACAGCAAAAGATCTAAGCAAAGCTGAGATAAGCAGTATGCCTGATAAAAATGCAAAGTAATGGTTATAAAGATACTCATTGGACTTCAAAAGAGAGTGGATGAATTCAGTGAGAACTTCAACAAAGAGATAGAAAATATAAAACAGAACCAGGCAGAGATGGAAAATTCAAT